TGTGATACTAATGGGATAGCCTTGCGTAATACTGCTAAGACAAATTACATATTCTAAGAGCGGAAGAGCAATTGACAATTATGTGCGAACGATGATTGACGGATTAGGCAGTGATCGCATTGTTGCCAGAAGAGCCCTTCATGCCACTGGATTTTCGCGCCAGATGAGACTAAATCATATGGAATCATGCACACATTGTCATCGTGACGCCGATATCGCTACAGCATAACTGATGAATAGAGCGATGTGAATTCTGGAAGCAGCTATGGGTGTAGGATGGGATGAGCCAGCAATGAAAAATATATATTTCGAACAAATAACTCAACGTCATGTCAAGTCTGCATGAGCTTTAGCAAGGCCTGCATAGGAGCTGCTTCAGAATGCCCTGCCCTACTTAAGTGAAGAACTCACGGCTCAGTGCATATTCCACCACATGCTCACCAAATTAGCGCTGACCCCTTTGATAGATCGGAGACACCTGTAAACAGTAATGGAGTAACAAACACCCTAAGGAACTTACGATTACGGTATTCGTTGGTCGCGCTTCAGTTTCGAATAAAATACAATGTAATACACTCTCCAACCACCTTTGTTTGGTCGATTTCTGACGTTTCTTTCCGTGGAAGTTTCTTATTTAGAAATACGACGATTAGTACTAGCTAATGCCAACTCTTTGGTAGCAATCCTTTGTAGGCATACCTCACCTGGAAGGGTTATTTTCGCAAATCAGTTTCAAAGTGCAAATGACTTCATACCCTTTGTTCTCTCTATTCGCCTCTATCGTTTTTTGTACTCTGCTTCAAAACCGCAAACTAAATGTAGCGCTCTTCATGGTGCATCTACTATTCGAAAAATCTTCTCTAAAATCGCACTTACTCCCTGCTTAAACACTGTCCCAACATTTATATATGTATAGGAGATTATGACTTTACCGTTGTCTAACTGCTCAATAAAGAATATGAGCGGCTACGGATCAAACTCGAACGCTTCACTGAGGTGGCCGAGCACTACCTAAAAAACTGATAATCGCGTATAAATGCATTTTAGACAGTTTGTTTTTTGGTTCTCTTCATATACACATTTGGGGTGGGCTCGTTTCAATCTCCAACGTAAGACAAGATAAGGTAAGAGGAGAACTACTATACATATGAAAATATTTCGGAAGCCTCCAGCTACAAAACTATTTGGAGATCCGAGGCTTATAGTAATGGATTGGATGAGCTTTCCTAAACCCATCAACTGGAAGTACCAAATTGGGAGTCTTTGAATGTGATGCATATGGACTTTCGTTACCGTATTATTATCAAGATTGTGTCGGAATCCTTTACTCTGCCCACTACTAATTAAGTCACTCGTCAGACACATATTTCTCACACGCTCTCAGTTAGCGACACTTTGCTTCTGACAACTATCAATTTTGTTGAACATTAAGCATTTTTAGCGCATCCACACTGGCGAGAAGCCGTTCAAGTGCGATCATTGTGGCCGCGCATTTCGTCAACCCGGTAATCTTACGCGACATAGACTTACCCACACTACGGTGAGTCCAATTCTCGCTATTGCTAATCGACATACGAGTACGTCTGTTTCAGGTCAAACCGTATGTATGCATTCACTGTGACAAGGCATTCAATCGAGCTTCTAATCTGCATACCCACATGCGAACTCATTCGGGGAAATAAGTACAAAGCACTAGACTATTTTATTCATGTGTCATGGTTGTTCTCGTAAATCTTGATCTCGAAGGCATTGTGCGTTCTATGCGAGTGCTATATAGCAACACAACTTTGTCTCAATATGTATATATTTCTGACGAATAGAAAAGTTCATCCATTAGTTTGCTTCTGTAAATTGTTGAGGTGATTCTCAAACTCTGAGACACCATCATCGCA